TTCACAACAAGTATTCCCTCCAACAATAACATATAATACAATGTTGGAAAATCATGATGCCATGCCAAGTAATGAGATGAAACTCACCCATGCATGCTATCCCGAGCCCACACCGACTCCCACAACACAATGCGACACTTACGTGTAAAACAAACGTCTTTGATGAAACACATCCAAAGATCATTTTGAAATCAACCATATGTCATAAAACTAATTCATTCTTGGATGTTTCCCATCAAATGAATAATTTATATATCAAAATCATGTGCCTTTATGGGGTATCGGATTCAGGAATCGCACCTCCGGCTCCGTACGCCGTTACACTTTTCTGGAATTTCACCGCCGGTAAGTGTATGAACCAAGTGGTCGGGTTTTTCACCCGAGGGAGTGTCTAGCCCTACTTGCTATACCCGACACAAGTTTTCTTATGCATGTCACCGTGCGACTCCGTAGGACATTCCATCCCACTTTCCCGAGCCTACCATCAAGAACCAATGTTGGTGTTGATCACCCCATGCAACCCTACACCCACACTCATGCATGTAGCCCATGAATGTGATGTTAATTCCATGTCCATATTGCAATGCATGCCAAATGACAATTTTTAAATATCATTGTATACCATGACAATTAATATCATTTGCATATAATCACATAACCATTTCAAGTTCAATATATCCAAGAGCATATATCAACACTCCATCAACATGATAACACATAATACATGCTAATATTACATTTCATTCACAAGGCATAATATAAAACACAAAGCATGCCCACATGATCCCAATTTTCAAGGGATTACATAAATACTTCCATATACCAAAATCAAGCCAAGATTTTATATGGATCATTCAAACAAAATAAAAATCAGAATATATGATTTTTATATAACCAATTATCTAAACATTCAAGAAATCACAAACTAGCACTTTCTAACTACCAATTCACACTAAAATTGATCCTACCCATTTCCATAGCACCAATCATAATGGAAAAATATTAGAAATACCCAAAACAGCCCACATGAACCCTATGGACACCTTAGGTTAGAAATAGGTCCGAGTAGGAGGAACCCTACCTCTTGAAGCGTAAAGAATTTGTAGGAAGCCTCAAGAACAAGATTGAAGCCCAAAGCTTAGATTTCTCCAAAATCCTCCCTTTGAATCTTCGGTGAAAATCTTTGTTTTTGGTACCCACGCGTAGCTCTCGTCGCGTAGATCGACTTTAATTCTTGGCCCGACGAATTCCGACCGACGGAACTCCGAGAATCGGCGAAAGAAAGCTTGAAGAATTTTATTTTTTCTCCTTAGCTCTTTGGTTTGATCCAGCCGGCAGCAAATGAAGAAAATGAAGAGCAAATATCTGATTTGCTCACTTTTATACCTTCTAAACACTTGGCCCTCGTCGCGCCAAGTGTCATCCTTTGTCCGGGTCCGTTTTCATCCCGAAACGATTAAATTTCGTACCGATTTAAACTCAAAATATTTTATATGAACTTTATTTAAAATATTTTTTTAAATTTTCAAATTTTTATAAAAATTTCGTTTTTAGGGGTCATCGAACACCCGTCACCTCGAAAAACGTGAAAAATCTGACTATCTCAGAATTCGACGAAATTTGTCTGGGTAACTAGATTTCGTGAGACGAATCCAATGGTGAGGTCCGTTTCATCATCCGAGGTCTATAAAAATACCAGTTTTTTTTTTTCAGAAAAAGTTAAAATTTTTCCCGGGTTTCACAGATACTAGATCTTGAATTTAATCTATAAGATCAAGAATTAATGTTTATTGTGCTACCCCTAAAATCGAGGGTCCTTTGTCAATCTGTTGATCACTCATCAATCCGCGAAAATTTTCATGAATACCGCTTAATCCGACACCACGACACAACATCCCTTTTACCAGGATCACAAAAACACAAAGTTTAGGCATAGTCTTCCTTGTACCGGGCACTCTCAAACGCATATTCTGTGTACACTTTGATCACATGACCAATCCGATGTCCAATATACAAAAATTTATCCTCATTTAATATCCATTTATATTATTTGAACAACCCAATACCTATAGACATAGCAAAACATTTCAAAATTTGAGATTTTAATGAAACATACCGGTACAAGATATGCAAGATCTACCGATATAAAAGGCTACTAAAAAATTTCTACTGGACAAGTTCTACATATAGAAGAGATCGTCATTCTACTAGTCTGTTCGAATGTTTGGCTCTCATGCGCCACACGACCTTTATTCCTAGGTCCGATTTCGTCCCAAAACGATTTAATTTTGTCCCGATTCAAGTTCAAAATATTTTTATATGAACTTCTTTTAAATTATTTTCTAACTTTCAAAATTTTATTTCATATTTTATTTTTAGGTCACACGACACTCGATCGTTTCGTAAAACGCAAAAAATTTAACTGTTTCAAAATTCGACGAAAATTGACTGGGTGCTAGACTTCGCGAGACAAATCCAACAGTGAAGTCCGTTTCGTCATCCGAATTCTAACAAAATTCGAGATTTCAACTCGTTCTGTAGTAGCAAATTACCGTTTTACCCATTTTCATAAAAAATCAAATTTATCCGGATTTTATATTTGTGACTTAGTTAAAGTATTTATGTTTAATCCATTTACATATAAAATGATTTTATAACATTTACAGTGTGATGAACAAATTTTATCTTGTTCTGATATATATATATATATATATATATATATATATATATATTAGAATATTACAAAGATACAAATCCCATCCACCCACAGACTCTTCTCTTTACAAAAAAAAAAGTTAATTTCTCTCTCTTTTTTTTTTTTGATCTAATAGATTTTCATTCTTCTTGTAAAGTTATTTGTGAGGTTTTTATTATTAACTTTTATTTTAAAATTATAAAAATTAATTGTTACCGACAAAGAAGGTAGTGGGATGGGTTCAGAATTTATCCACAGGAAGGGATGTCAATGGACCGAAGCGGGAGTGGAGGGTATAGTCTTCATCTCCGTACCCACTTAAAAATTCTTCGTTCATCCCCGGTTCACCCCCATTAACGGGTATAATTTTCATCCCCATCCCTGTTCGCAGGTAAATTTTTAATCTCTGTCCCCGCTTCCCCAATACCCTCCCAAGCCCAAGCCCAAGCCCAAGCCTAAGCCCAAGTTCAAGTGAACATAATCTAAAATTCTAAATAAATATAACATTTTAAATAATCCAATAACATTCTAAATAATTTAACATAATCTAACACAACATAATGTAGTATATTGACATTATTGACTACACTGACTTAATTAAACTGCCTATGAAAACAATAAAATCAGAGAGAATGTTCCTCATATTAATGATTATGTCAAATTATCATGCCAAACATATTATATCATATTGCGATAAAAGAAAGCAATGTAACTCAAAATTGCAAGATTGCACCTATAGCTGAATTGAGATAGTTGGATGAATTAATTACAAATGACAATACAAAAGGCCGAATAAAAGGACTGATCTAATGAAAAGACCGAATAATATAAATTTTGTTGCCAAATACAAGAAACTTTCCCTCAAGAAGCAAAAAATTTGTATCTTAATTGAATAAATAAGAAATAAGGATTAGTTATTCACTATGTCAATACCCAAGTAAAAGCTATTTTCCACAGGAAAATGGAATATGTGTGTGTGTGTGTACTAATATACTAAAAATTAATATTTAAAAGAAAAAGACAAAAAATAGAAGAACGTAATGGTAATCTTACTAGTGCTATGAGAGCTTCACCATCACCCTTTTGATCTATTCATCTAACCCTACATGCATAAACCCTTTTTTTTTTAATTCGTTTTCACCCTCTTCTACTCGGACTAATGTTTACCACTAGTCTTCCCCCCAACGAGTCTAAGCAGAGAAAAGGTTCACTTAGATTCCTAATTGAGCCGGTTTAGCTAGTTACGGTTTCTATACATCCAACAAATGGCCCTAACGAAGTACAATATTTAATTAGAAGAAAAAGAACACAACAAAATTGATCTGAGAAGCGCTTTCAAACCCAAAACCAAAGAATTAAACAAAATCCGAAAAACCCTAAATCCATTGATCAATCCACAGCAAAAATTTAACAATCATTCAGTAGAATTCCAATTACTCAACAAAAGAAAAGCAAATTATATTAAAGAAATTAACAAATAACAGTTATATAATATAACCAATTTCGATAAATGAAATACAAATTGACATAGAGAAGAAGCAAGTAAACTGAGAGGAATCAAACCCTAATATTGGCATTTCCTAAGCAAACCCTCTAGTAGCTTTAAACAAGTTGTGTCATCATCCACAGCAAGAAGATGCATACACACAGGAAACTAGAGCATTATTTTCATCACAGGGAAGAAGAATTCATACCCAGAAGAGTCGGCGTTAAGCGTTGAGAGGAGAGGAGCACTCATCATTGAGATGAGTGTAGCGATCAACAATTGCGCATAGGTAAAGAGGAGAGACAAAGGGAAAGAGAGGCGAACTGCCAAAAGGGAGTCTTAAGGTTTTAAGTCTTTAACTAGGAATTTATATATATAACGAGGATGAGAATGGGCGGGAGTTAAAGTAAGTCTATCCCCATTTTTATTTCTGTACGAATTTATACGATATTCTTATATATTTTTATCGTTCAATACATATAATTTATTTTTAATCGAAACGAATACCTATTTTTTTTAGTCCACTGCCATCCTTATTTGTGGGCCATCCTTATTTGTCGAGATAAAATTTTCTCCATTAATAACGATAGATCGGAGTGGACGAATATTTTTATCGCAGTTGGGTGTTTATTCCCCCAACCTCGCCATCCCGTGTCTGTATGGCCAGCGCACCACCATCACCTTCGCAGGCGCCGCTTCTTCTCCCCCTTCAACGACGGCAGGTAGCCACTTCCTTCTTCATAACAACTTTGTCCTTTGTTTTTTTTTTTGTCCTCTCAGCTTTCATTTTCATACCCACTTCCTTTTTTTTTTTTTTTTCTCATTATCCTACACACCAAAAATTCAACACAATACAGTATACAGTTCGAACCGATGATGCTAAAATATCTCTTTAGTCCGCAGATTAGTCTCTACCTTCGCGCTCGCTTGCAAAATCTTGGCTTTCTTAGATTCTTCACTTCAGATACACCTATCAATTTGGGTGCCAATTTTACTTTCACCCGTGATGTACGCAAGTTAGAAATCCAAATAAGATCTTTATGTGAAAAACCGAACTTCAAATTCAAAGAAGCGGTTTTGATTTTCGATTTTCTTGTTGAAATGGGTCGAATCCCTTCTGGGTTTATATGTAATTTTTTAGTTGAAGTCCTTGCGAAGAACAACCAGTACAAATTGGCCTATAAAGTATATAATAGGATGATTCATGTTGAAATTTTGCCGAGTTTTCTGTCATTGGGTGCATTAGTTGAGTATTTTGTTCATACCCGTAAGCCTGAATTTGCAATTTCGGTACTTGGGTTGATACTAAAGCGCGGTTTTAGTGTTAATGTGTACCTAGTGAATCTTATATTGAAGGGTTTATGCCAAAATGATGAGGTGGTTAAGTCCGTGGAGCTTTTTCATGAATTGAGTAGAAACTTTGTTTCACCTGATATAGTTAGTTATAACACAGTTATAAAGGGACTTTGCAAGGCAAGGAGATTGGATGAAGCCCTAGGTCTGTTAGTTGAGATAGAGGCGGGAAATTGCTGCCTCAATTCAATTACTTATGGCATTTTAATGGATGGTCTTTGTAAGGAGGGTAGAGTGGAAGAGGCAATGGGTCTGTTGGATGATATGAGGTTCAAAGGTTTGGATGTGGATGTTGTTGTATATAGTACGCTTGTAACTGGTCTTTGTGATAAAGGAGACACCGATAGAGGGGAAGAACTTTTAAATGAGATGATGCAAAAGGGAATTTCGCCCAATGTAGTTACATATACATGCTTGATGCATGGCCTTTGTAACATGGGGAAATGGAAGGAAGCCACAGCAGTGTTAAATGCAATGACTGAAAGTGGGATTCATCCGGATGTTTTTAGTTATACGAGTTTAATTGATGGGCTCTGCAAAGATGGGAGAGCAGCTAAAGCCGTGGAGCTATACAACTTGATGCTAGAAAAGGGTGCCGAGCCTAGTATCATAACGTATAATGTCCTCATTAATGGACTATGTAAGGAAGGGTTGATTGCTGATGCTATTAAAGTTTTGGCAACCATGGTTGAGAAGGGGAAGAAACCAAATGTGGTTACTTACAATACGTTGGTTAGGGGATTTTGTGAAAATAGGAAGGTTGACGATGCAATGAAACTTTTAAATTTGATGCTGAAGGATAAGAGCTATGTTGAACCGGATGTCATTACATTTAATCTGCTAATTCAAGGGCTGTGCAAAGCGGACCGTCTGGATGAGGCAGCAGAGATGCATCATAAGATGGTTGATAGTAAAATATCGGGCAATGTTGTCACTTATGGAGTGTTGATAGGGGCTTATCTTAAGGCGGGCAATGTTGAAAAGGCTATGGGACTTTGGAAGCAGTTACTTGCATCAGGATTAGTCCCAGATTCATTTTCTTATAGTGTCCTAGTCAATGGATTTTGCAAATTGAATATGGTTAATATTGCGAAAGGGTTTTTTTGTCAAATGAGAACTCATGGGCTCCGTCCTTCATTGTTCGACTACAATGCATTGATGGCAAATTTGTGTTCTGAGGGTTGTTTGGAGCAAGCAATGAGATTGTTTCAGGAAATGAGAAATGCTAAATGTGAACCAGATGTCACGTCGTTTAATACCATAATCAATGCAACTCTCAAAGCAGGGAATATTCAGTATGCCAAAGAACTATTGACAGATATGCTTCAGAAGGGTTTGATGCCGGATGCTTTCACCTTTTCCATATTAATAAACAGGTTTTCAAAACTAGGACAAATGGAGGAAGCTACAAGCATATTTGATAGAATGGTTGCTTGTGGCTTCACAGCAGACACCCTTGTATATGATTCTTTACTAAAGGGCTTTAGTTCAAGTGGAGAAATGGACAAAATTATTAATTTGCTTCATCAAATGGCTGCTAAAGGTGTTGTCCTTGACTCGGAAATTACTTCCACTATCTTGACGTGTCTCTGTGACATCTCTGGAGATCTCGATGTGATAAAGTTTTTACCCAGTTTTCCACAAGACACTTCTATAGGACTGAGGGTATCATGTGATGAGTTGTTGACGCAACTCCATCAAGCTCATCCTGATCTTCACTTACATACTGCTTGAAATGCTTGCAGGTGACTCCATGTCACATGTACTGCTCTCTTTAGCTTCAATTACATGATTTCCATCTCAAGAAATGCCTGCAGATGCTGCAGAATCGTATGCTGCTCTCTTGGGTAAGTTCCTATTTTTTGTGACCGACTTGTAGAGTAATATGCTTGAAATTTAATTTTTACATGGATAGGCTATTATTGTTCACTTTTCAGAGAAAATCAGAAGGATGGCAAAAATACTTCATGGATTACTAACATTCTGCTTAGATCAATAATAAATGGCTTTCTGTAACTTCTTATGTTGAGTTTGAGATGAATTCGAGGTTAGTTCTATGTTATAGGCGATGGAACAGTGGAATGACTTCAAAAGGCACTTAAGTTTGCTCTGAAAGGATTCTCCTGGAAGACCATTGCAACCATTATCCTTGATCAGTTTTGGTGTCTTAGATATGGGATCATCCCCTGACCATAATACCTCCCTACCATAGATGGTTTGCGAGGTTAAAAGGAGTTATGCTATTTTTGGTATGTGGTAATGTTTTTCAACAGGAATGGAATGGGTTTGGAAATAGAATGAGCTTGAGAATGAAATGGAAAAAGCATTAGTATTCCAATGTTTGGCATCTGTTTAGAATTAAGGGCTAGAATATAATGCACATTCTATTCTTATGTTTGGATAAAACAATTCTTTCCTTGGAATGGAATGAAATTTAATTAAAAAAATTGTCATAAAATTTCAACTTAATTTAATATACTCTCTTACAATAAGTACTCCCATTAATTTTAAAAGATGAGAAATTAGAATAAATGCACAATCACATAATGAACANGCAAATTTGTGTTCTGAGGGTTGTTTGGAGCAAGCAATGAGATTGTTTCAGGAAATGAGAAATGCTAAATGTGAACCAGATGTCACGTCGTTTAATACCATAATCAATGCAACTCTCAAAGCAGGGAATATTCAGTATGCCAAAGAACTATTGACAGATATGCTTCAGAAGGGTTTGATGCCGGATGCTTTCACCTTTTCCATATTAATAAACAGGTTTTCAAAACTAGGACAAATGGAGGAAGCTACAAGCATATTTGATAGAATGGTTGCTTGTGGCTTCACAGCAGACACCCTTGTATATGATTCTTTACTAAAGGGCTTTAGTTCAAGTGGAGAAATGGACAAAATTATTAATTTGCTTCATCAAATGGCTGCTAAAGGTGTTGTCCTTGACTCGGAAATTACTTCCACTATCTTGACGTGTCTCTGTGACATCTCTGGAGATCTCGATGTGATAAAGTTTTTACCCAGTTTTCCACAAGACACTTCTATAGGACTGAGGGTATCATGTGATGAGTTGTTGACGCAACTCCATCAAGCTCATCCTGATCTTCACTTACATACTGCTTGAAATGCTTGCAGGTGACTCCATGTCACATGTACTGCTCTCTTTAGCTTCAATTACATGATTTCCATCTCAAGAAATGCCTGCAGATGCTGCAGAATCGTATGCTGCTCTCTTGGGTAAGTTCCTATTTTTTGTGACCGACTTGTAGAGTAATATGCTTGAAATTTAATTTTTACATGGATAGGCTATTATTGTTCACTTTTCAGAGAAAATCAGAAGGATGGCAAAAATACTTCATGGATTACTAACATTCTGCTTAGATCAATAATAAATGGCTTTCTGTAACTTCTTATGTTGAGTTTGAGATGAATTCGAGGTTAGTTCTATGTTATAGGCGATGGAACAGTGGAATGACTTCAAAAGGCACTTAAGTTTGCTCTGAAAGGATTCTCCTGGAAGACCATTGCAACCATTATCCTTGATCAGTTTTGGTGTCTTAGATATGGGATCATCCCCTGACCATAATACCTCCCTACCATAGATGGTTTGCGAGGTTAAAAGGAGTTATGCTATTTTTGGTATGTGGTAATGTTTTTCAACAGGAATGGAATGGGTTTGGAAATAGAATGAGCTTGAGAATGAAATGGAAAAAGCATTAGTATTCCAATGTTTGGCATCTGTTTAGAATTAAGGGCTAGAATATAATGCACATTCTATTCTTATGTTTGGATAAAACAATTCTTTCCTTGGAATGGAATGAAATTTAATTAAAAAAATTGTCATAAAATTTCAACTTAATTTAATATACTCTCTTACAATAAGTACTCCCATTAATTTTAAAAGATGAGAAATTAGAATAAATGCACAATCACATAATGAACAAACTCACTAAAAAACTAATTACAATCAATAATAGACATAAGAAACGAAAAAAAAAAGTAGAAAAGCATAATGTTTAATGTCATATATAATCCAAACAAAGATACGCCGCCGATCACAATAGATCTTCCTACATAATAAAAATAAATTCTCTATCTAAATAAACATATAGCCTTCTTGACCTCAGGGATGCCAAACAAAAAAAGTAAGGTCTGAGTTATGAGCCAACGCATACAAGGATTTATGTCTCTTACTCATGGATTAGTTAGATAGCTTCATCAACTCTCCATAAATCTGTTTCTTTAGGTCGCAAAGTGCAAAATCAACACCAATTGAATGGGCAAATATAGTTGTTGCCTCCTTAATCTTCACACTCATGAGAGATGCATCACTCATTAACCCTTCACTGCATTTGTCATGACTTTTTTTCAAAAAATAGATGTCAAAAAAGTAAGAGTGCCTCATTCATTTGGCCCAGTTAACAACTACTGATAAATCCATTTAGTATGAAGCAAGCATTTGAATGTACAAGGACAAAAAAACTGACCCACTCTCATCCATAATTGTCATGTTACAAATAAAAGAATTTAGGGGGAAATCAACACAATCCCAGAAAAGTTCCTTAAACCAATCAAACAATCGAGGCACGAGGACTGGTGAAAATTTAACTGGCTGAGAATGTTAGAATAGAATATGTACATGAATTAATATTCCAGTTGAAGTAGATTCGATAAAGCAGAAAGGGAAAAGCACACAAACTCAATACATGCCATCATAAACAATTATTTTCAAAATCAAACCCAATACATTCAATTAAATTGTATCAAAATGTAAATCAATCCAGAAATATATTCCGGCCTAGATGTTATTCAAATTGGTCATTAAAAGAGAAAGCAAACAGATAGAAAAAGATGTGAAATTCAAAACTCAACTAGCTGTTTGAAAGCATTTTGTCATGATGATGCAGATTGGAAAAAATGATTATGAGATGGTTGTTGATTAAAGATGGAAAACCAAAAGATTAATCCTAAAATAAAAAAACACTAAAGAACAAACCCAAAAACCAAATGGAAATCATTATAGCTGAATATGATTCCAACATGAAGAGAAACGGGAAGCACCACTAGCTAAGGGAAAACAACGAATGAACACAAAACTAGAGAAACCTGTCTTCCTTGTCCAATAACATTGCCCGAGTTCAACCTAAACAATAAATGAACACAAAACTAATTGAGATTGGTCTTCCCTACCATTTAACAAGATAAAATCGCAGCCTTGCATGACAAATAGGTCTAGTATATTCCTATAATGAGGACCCAAAAAGTAGAGCTCCTCAAAGTGGGTTTCTTTGAAGACAAAAGGAAAAAAATGCGGTTTCTTGACCTACTATTGTGAAGGCACTAACTTAACCTATCACTACATGTCAGTTTGCCAATCCTAAAAATTTTCCTAGGCATTAATTAGGTGCAAAAGTTTTAGGCTCGTTTAATATCAATTGTTGGTCATAGACAATATTGACAAGGTAGAAAATAATATACAAGGAAATATATTTTGAACAATAATCAAACTACTTAGTTGTGGTGACTAAGTAGTATGATGCCACGATTCCTTGTCATGCCAAACATGGAAAATTAAGTGGAACTGGGGGCAAAAATAAGACTTGAATAGATAAAGCAATCACCATGTTCGGTTGGGATGATTAGTCTCTTGGCTACTTTCCAACATTTTGTAATTTTTTATTCTACTCACAAGTATCCCACTTCAAAGTGAAAAAAGAAGTTTCTAGAAGCAAAAGGGGGGATTTGACAAAGTGTTACAAGTGAAGCCAACCACTTATTCGAATTCTATATGTATTACTCATGGTATCATCTATGAAATCCTATTTTTAGTTTCTCTCCTTTCTATAGCATATAGTTGGCAGGCATGACAATCTAAATATGAAATAGACAAACAACAAATATAACAAAAATAAAGGAGAACCAGTGTCTTTGCTCCAACTGATTTTCTAACATACCAGCTTTAGGATTTGGATCTCCTCCATTACCTCTTTCCTTTAATTTTCCTCAATACAGTGTTAGATGAGTGACGTATAAAATTTTGAATTTTAATAGACAAGATTTTTTCTTTGTGAGAAAATTCTTCAATAATGATTAACACTCTATCAACAATAAAATGAATGAAAAAATTTTTTATCCATTGAAATTCAAAATCTTACACATGTTATTCATCTAGTACTGTATTGAGAGATATCGAAGGGATGGGTACTGGACGGGATCTAAATCCCCAGTTTTATATATTCTCAAATAACAACTTCCATTGATTTAGCAAACAGAAACGAAAGCAAATATCTTAATCCTCCACACAAAACTCCAAAATGGATTTGAGATTGTTGACTAAATTGAGCGAGGAATTACCTGAGATTGGTGGCAATTTCAAACCTCGTCTAGTCATTAATTTGGTCCTTTGCATCACAAAGAGATGAGGAATAGATAAACAGTGGTTGGGGAGGGATAGATAAACAGGGGTGAGAGGAGAAGAGAGAAGACGGAGAGAGACCTTGGAACGATCGGGTTTTGATCAAAGTGAAGTTCATTACCGACTTATTTAGGAATGGGTAATACCATGATTTATTTGGTAATGGCTAATCCCATCATTTGTGGGATTAGCTATTCCTTGGGAATAGGAATGAATTTTTATTCCCACAAAACCAAACAAAGGAATAGGCACTACCAAGGCCGTTCATTCCAAATTTTCAATACAATATACCAAACACAACGTTATTGTATAAACTCTCATGTGATGTAAAACATGATACTGTAAATAAATAGGCCAAGATTCAATGCACCACTTAAACTTAGCAAAGGTTACTTACATGTCATCCTATGCAGAAAGGGATATAGACTAAGAGCCACAGCCTTCTTCAAATTGTGAAACACATTTGAGGTGGAACTCAAGACACAAACCTTTATACACTTCTGGTTCAATGCCTGCAACATATTTTGACGAAGATCTCCAAATTATTTTAACTGAGAGATTATATATGATGGGCCTAAGGAATACTATTAACCGGTTTCTTTGATTGCCGAATATGAACTTGAGAGAAATGTGTATTTGTCATCGATGGACACTGCTTCGACCTCGTAGTGGACCATCATCTTCCGTGGGCAAGATGATTTCTTCTTCCAAATTACTAAAAGTCATAAGTAATACTGTGGAATTAAATTTGGTAGATTCCTGCTTTAAAGTTTTTATTCACGGACAACTGCCACCACCTCGATTACTAAGTTTTATAACTCAATCGTTCTAGTTTTCGTCAACATTAGTAATGAAATAGGCTAACCCCAGTGATATTCTTTGATTTAAGCAGCTTGAAGTGGACGGCTTTTCTTCTTGTCTGAAGGAGGTCAAGGTGTTGGCTTTTGACCATATTACCAGTACATAGTGTAGAAGATTCAGGATGGATAAAAAGCAGAGGGGGAGACTCTGTTTATGTTTGCGGCTCAAGCTATCCTCAATTATGCTGTGTCTTCTTCAGCTACGCTATGAAACAAAAGTGAATATTTATTTTAGGAGGTTTTAGTACAGAAGATCAAGCTCAGATTTTAAAAGCAATCTGCTGCTTCGGGGATCCTCATTCTATGAGGGCTATCGGCTATGAAAGAATCCTGCCGATTTTGGCATCGGACAAGCTTGCTGGAAGGAAAAGGGAGTTGATCACTAAAATACAGCAATTTATAAACAAAATTACCAAAATACAGTAAGTTTAAACTTATTTACCAAACTAAGACATTTTTCAAAAGTGGAGTCTATAACAATGGGTTAATAAACTTGCTTTTAAATATAATTTTTTTTTAACATCACTAAAAAGCGTGGTTAATATCTACCCTTTCAATATCTTTCTCTTCCTTTACCTTTGTTAGCTCTGGCTCCGATTACGTTTGGCCAAGTTGTTTGAAGGTTCCAGCTTCGGAGTTTGTAAGTTCGGTGAGGTCCACCATTGATGAAATCTGACTTGTCATCTCCGTCGTCTCCAAATTCACCAATGCATTTGGTGATTTTTGTTGGAATAAATTAAGTTTTTTCTTTTTCCTTCAAAAATGGTTCCAAACTTCATTTTTTTTTTAAGAGATATTTAATGTTTTGGATTATTTTATACCATGTATATGTGGAGGAATTTTTCATGA